GCCCTCGTGGCCACCGCTAGCGAGCGCTCGGCCGAGACGTGCTGCACCAGCGCCGCGCCGGCCTCGCCTCCGTCCCGGCCGGACCCGAGCCTTGGGAGAAGCATGATTTGTGGGAGCCTAGGGGAGGCCACACCTCAAGAATACGGGGGTGACCGGTTAGAGGTGGGCTGTATTGAAAATAGGTGGCGTCCTGCCGGGGCTTGGGAGGCTAGGGCTGGGGATTAGTTTCAAGAGAAAGGTAGTAAATTAACATTTTTTAAAAAATTTCTTTGCAAACTGGGCGGTAAAGACTCGCCCCTGTGGGCCTCGGTGCTAAAAATATCTAGTTTCTTTGAATCTCCTGCTGAGATTTGTTCTTCACCTTCATCCTGAGGCGGTGGCTGGGAGGATTCTTTAGGCTGAAGGAGGAGATTCCAGGAACAGTCTGGTGGAGGGGTACTCACACTGCTGGCTGGGTTCTGGTTTAAAAGACTGATCTCTGCGGTTTCAGCCCACTTGTCTGTAAAATGAGACACAGGAACACTACTGATTCTTAAATCATTCAGGGGGAGGTGGATTGCTCTGTTGGGCAATAGGAAATACAGATTTATTAAAACTGGGCCAAGAAACTGGTTGCACCACCATATTCAAGTACAAGCAACCAGCAGATTAAGTCCATTGTAAGGAGAAGGTCTGAAAAAGACTGTTCAGTCCATTCCCAGTTTTTTGTTTGTTTGTTTGTTTGTTTGTTTGTTTGTTTTGAGAGGGCTGCAGCCCATCTGTGACACCCTAGGCAGCTCAGGGACTGCTTTGGGGAACCTGTCCATTCACTCACTTCAGCAGATAGTATTAGGTTGAGTGCCTGATCCGTGCCAGGTCTGTTTTGATGCTGGGAGATACAGCAATGAACAAGAAAGCTGAGGCCTCTTGCTCCATAAAACTTATCGTTAGTTGAGACAAATAGTTGCAAATTAAAGAAAATGCTGAGACAAAAATGAGGGTCTAGGAGAGAGAATAAGAGCTACTTTCGATAGAGCCATCAGGGAAAGCGTCTTTGAGGAAGTGATATTGAAATTGAAGTCAAAAGAATGAGGAGATAGCCTTGGAAAAAGCTGGACAGAGACATTTCAGGTCATGAGTAGTATATGCTGAGGCCCTGATAAGGTAAGCTTTAGATGTGTCAAGGTGCTGGAAAAAAAAATCAGTGTGGCTAGAGTAGCACACACACTGCTCTCCCCGCCCCCCGCCAGAAAAGAACCAGGATGAAGTGGGGAGGTAGGCAGAGACCAGGACATACAAGACTGTGTCAGTGAATGGAGACTTTTTAATAAACCACTGAAGGGTTTTATGCAGAAGACAAACATGTTCTGATTTACTGCTGTGTAAAGAATAAATTGGGTGGGTGGCAGGCAAAAATAAAAGCAGAGAGACAATTAGACTGTTGTGGCAGTCCAGGCCAAAGATGATGGTGGTTTGGCCTAAACCACACTATGATGATTAGTTGAGAGATGCTATTTTGGACATGGACTTGACAGGACAGTTGATAGGATGAATGGGGGCAGGTGGGGTGGGGGGCAAGGGTAGGGTTAGGAAAACCACAGATAACTTTAAAGTTTCTGACAGGAGTAAATGAATGGACAGTGCCTCACTTATTGAATGAGATAGCCTGGAGGAAAGAGACTGCATCTCAGGGAGGAACATTAAGAATTCTGCCTTAGCTCTGTTGAGTTTGAAATGACTGTCAGAGATCCAATTCAACCGTCTAGTCACTGGGAGCTCAGAAGAGAGGCCAGGGCTGGAGATGGGGCTTTTGGAGGCATCATTTTATACATAGTAAAAGGCCATGGGATCCGAGCAGATCAGCTATGGTGAGGAGGTGGATGCAGGAGAGGGTTTAAGAGGGACTGAAAGACAGAGGAGCCAGAGCAGGAAAGACACCTGAGAAAGAGAGGCTGGGGAGGCAAGAGGAGACCCAGGAGAGTGTTGTATCCGAGATACTGAGAAAGGAAAGTGTTTCCAGAAAGGAGTGATCAGCTGTGTTCAATGCTACTTCGAGATCAGATAAGATGAGGACAGGGAAGGATTCCTTGACTCTGGCAACATGAAAGTCATTGGTGAACATGATAAGGGCAGTGTCCCTGGAGTAGAGGGGAGGGAGCCAGGCAATGTTTGGAGAACTTGTCTAAGAGGAACTGGGAGGGGTCTAGAATGGGATGTGGAATCAGGAGGCTTTGGCAGAGATTGTTAGATGACCCTAATAACTATTCTCTCCCTTTTTCTTCAGCGTAGAATTTCAAATTCTAGCTAGCTACATGGCTTCTCGGAATAAAAGCAAGTTTCTCAGACTCTTTTGCAGCTAAGTATGGTCATATGACTCATTTCCAACCAAAAGGGGAGCTAGCTTTAAGGGACAGTGGTGTGCTTTCCTCAGCCATTACTCTTCCCTGCTCACTGGAATATGTAAATATGTAGCTGGAGCTCAAGTGGCCATATTAGACTTTGAAGTAGAAACCATGTGTCGAGCATGTTAGCAGAATTAGTTAGACTAAATCTGGATTCCTGTTGTGTAGGGAGCCACCATACCTGCTCTGGGGTGGTACCTAACTCTTAACTTTGTATATGAGAAAAAGAAAAATTTCTGTCTTTTTTAATCCTCTGATTTCTGATGCTTGTAGCCATATCTAATTTTAATTTTTGTTAGAATTTGTTAAATATGGAATTTTTGTTAGATTTTGTTAAATATGGAAGTTACTAGAGCAGGTTTGCAGGGTGATAGGAATGATCCAGGAGAGAAGGCAAGAGTATTCTGAAGAAAAAGTGAAAGAAGTGATATAGGCACAAATGGAGAGGACACCTGTGATAAAGAGGTACCTCTGCCATTATTAAGGAGGGAGATATAGAGGCAGAGAAGATGTTTCCAGCGAAGGTTAGGATTGGAAAGATGATCATTCATACCTGATGATTTCCACTTACTCCTGGATGTGAAGGAGGTCATGAGCTTAGAAAAAGGAGGAAGGAGAAGGGGAAGCCAATTTTGTGATCCATGGATTAGGTGAAGTTGGAGGTCCTGCCAGCCTGAGCTCCTTTTGAGAGACAGCTCCATTCTGGACCAGTTGGCCACACTGCCGCTGGCATGAAGAAGGTGTGGGAAATGCCCAGAAAGCCAGCATGGCCTCCACCCCACCCCCAATCAGGCCATACTTCACAGTCACTATGGCTACCAGTAGTCACTTGCCTACCATTCCTAGCTGCAATATTAGATCCACTGCACTTCACCTGACCCATTTTTACAGCACAAAGAGGTGGAGAGGGGACTTCAGAGAGCATCAGGGATACTCAAAGCAGATCAGGCCCATTTTATTTTCCTTTATTAAAAAAAAAAAGTGAGATATGGACAGCCTCAACTCAAAAAGGCTGTACTGTAACCAGTGACTTAGTTTCCAGGCTAGCCTCTAGAACCATAATTGCCAAGAATATAGCTGAATTATATATAGTGCAGACTGCAAGCCTGAGATGTGGATTATGGGAACAAAAAAGCAGTACAAGAAGTAGAGAAAGAAAGAAGCTGAGAATTTCTTTTTTTCCGGGCCTGGAGTTGGCTATAATAAAATTTTAAATGGAAGAGCTTGGCCTTTATCTTCTTCTGACTTCCTCCTTACCCCTTTGTCCTGGTCAGGTCCTAGTTCTGTCCCGGTCTGGTCCCAGGGCTGCTTTTACTCATCCTGGGTTCCACTTTGCAGCACCTCTGTGTGTATACAGGCCACAGGTGGGTTTGGGAAAAGCAGCTTGAAAAGAAGAGGGACATGGTGTTCATCTTCTTGATCTTGAGCAAAACACTTTACATCTCTGAGCCTAGTTGTCTTACCTATAAAGTCAAGACAATAGTAAAACCCACCTTATAGTAAGATTCTTACAAACTTATAGTAAGAATCAAATGAAATGACATTTATAAAACATCTTGTAAGCTGTAAGGAACTCTTATCTGGGAATGATGCCTTATCGAGTTGCCTTAATGAGACCAGACTACTAAGGATCTTCACATTAGTCAGACCATTTTAGTTGGAAATGAGAAAATGCCTCTCAAACTAGCTTAGGCCAAAGGAAGGGAGATTACTTTAAAGATACTCACGTCACTCACAAAATCAAAAGAAGAACTTCAGACCAGCATGACTCTAGAAGCTGGGGGCTGATCCTGCAGATTACCCAGACCAGGAGCCCCTCATTCTGTCTTTTAGTGCTCTGAGTTTTGCCGCATGTGGGAAATGTGACTGAATAACTCCCCCTTCAAGGTTGGTATGAAAAAATCCAAGGGAAAGACTAATTGATCTAGCTCTGGCCAGATGCCCACTCTTGGACCAATCACTGGTGGAGGAGAGAGGATTCCACAACTGAACCAGGTCTGAGTCACATGCCTATTCCTGTGTTTACTAGGGCAACATCTATGCCAAAGAAAAAAATGGGGCATAAAGGACCGACATGATAATTCCCGGCAAAGCCTTATATGGCTGGTATTCCTTAGGCCCTAAGCAATCACTGAAAGATTTTAGGCAGAACAGTAACATTGCTTTAGGAATGGACTGGAGGAAACAAGATTGGAGTAAAGAATAGTTAGGAAGGAAACTTGTAACGATTCAAGAAGTAGATGATGAGGAAATTGAAAGAGGTGAACAGGTTCAAAAAACATTTAGAAGGTCGAACTGAGGAGTGACTAATTGGATAGGAAATTGAGAAATAAAGAGACATAATCTGGCTGCATAGACAGTGATGCTCTTCACTGAGAAAGAATCCAAATGACCGTGTGTGTGTGTGTGTGTGTGTGTGTGTGTGTATTTGGTGAGGAGTGACAACTTGTACCTCTTCCATTTGAAGTGTCCCTAAACAGAGGAGGTAGGTCTAGTTTGCTGTTTGGAGTTCAAGAGAGACATCTAAGCAGAAGCTATAAGTTTGGGATTTGTGTTCAGCTTCTGTAACAGCAACCCCACTACATTGCTTTAGCCAAACAGGTTTTATTGCTGTTTTCTATTGTAGTTGAAAACTTCTGATGTAGGAAAAGTCTAAAGATAAAGTAAGCAGAGCAAGGCTGGTCAGCAGCTCCACAATGTCATTCAGGCCCCCAGTCCATTATGTAGGTCTGCTTTGGCTCTCCTTACTGAGAAGCTTTCTTCCTCAGAGTCAGCTTGTGGTAATTCAATGGCTGTTTCAGCTCCAGCTTCTCACCTGCATTCCAGATAGGCAGACAAAAGAGTAGAAAGGAAGGAGCTACACCTGTATTAGAAAGCAAAACTTGCCCAGAAATTCCCACAGACTGCTGCTCATGCCTCATTAATCAAATCTGGTCACACGGCAAGCCTGAGCTCCAAGGGAGGCTGGGAAATGCACTTTTAATATATAAAAAATTAGGTCCCTGAGCCTGTTTGGAAGAAAGAAGAGGAAAATGGATAGTGATAAAGCAGTACATGGATGACAATTAAAACCATGGGAGTAGATGAACTTAACCTGGAACTGGGAGATGTGAAGGGAAAAGGACTGAGGCAGAATCCTGGTGAACACAAACGGGAAGAGAAAGAGGAGAAGGACCAAGGAGACTGAGAAAGAGCAGCCAGTGAGGAAGGAGCAGAGCCAGAGGGTGCTGTGTATGGGAGTCAAGGGAAATGAATGTCTCAAGAAGGAAGGAGTGGTCGCCAGTTTCCAGTGCTGTAGGAGGGCCTTCAGGACAAAGCCGAAGAGTGACCATTGGGGTTGGCAGCTTCCAAGAGCTGTTTCAGTGGAATTGTTTGGTCAAAGCCTGTTAACAGTGGGCCGGAGAATAAATAAAGATGAGACAGAGGTTCATTCTTGGCTGAAAGATGAGAGAGGCTGAGGGAGAGAACTTTTTTTTAAAGAAAGGGGAAACTTGAATCTGTATAAATGATGAAGGGAAGTAGCAGTAGCAGTAGCAGAGGAGAGATTGAAGAGTCTGGAGGAAAAGAGAGATGATGCTTGCTGGAAAAGGTAGGAAGGATCGGGGTTCAGAATAAGAGGGCGGCCAAAGTCTGGAGGACAGATGGGCCTCCAGGGAGATAGGAGAAAGGAGGAAAAGCTGGGTGAGAATGCAGATGTTTGTGTGTTTGGTGGGGGTTTTGAGTGAAGTCTTCCATTTTTTTTTTTTTTCCCTGGAAACAAGGTACTCACCTGCTGAATGTAGAGTGGGATTTTGGTGACATCCAGAAATTTCAGAGAAACTTAAAAAAATGAGAGAAGCTTCTTAGTAGGGGCAAACAGGAGGATTTGAGGAAGGATTGAGAGCCCAGCTGAAGTGGGTAACCCTTTATCAGTAGTCAGCAGTGGGGTAAAGTACAGGTGCAGAGAAAACAGGCAGTAAGATTGATCAGAGTTTGGGGTTTTACCAGGAAGGCATGATAGAAAAACAGTGGTGCAAAGGATTCAAAACTATTAGAAAGAAAGCACTTGAGGTGTTGTATCACGAGTCTTGGCTGGTGGGGGAGAGAAGTGACAGCTGGAGGGGCTAGTAGATGGGGAGAAAGGAGAAGATGGGGGTGGCCGGAGGGCCCTCAATGAAAGCAGAAGACAGATATGGTTATACGAAGCTATGGTCAGACAGAGAAATGTATCCATGGGAGCAGGTAATTAAGGTGGAATGATGGGATCAACGGCCCTGGGATGAGGAAGTCGGGACCAAGAAGCCAGTGTAAGAATGGGTCACCCCATGAATGTATGGAGTACAAGCAATGACAATGAGCCAGGTAGTAATGTCCTAGGTAGATCTTTCATTCCAAGCTCGGTTTTGAATTAATGTTGCCTTTCTTGAAAAAAAAGGTCAGAGTCCCGGGTAAAGGCGAACAGAAAAGAAATTGGTTTATTGGTCTGTCAACCAATGCCTATCTTATTTGTCCCAGAACAATTTATTTTAAAGAATCTGCAAACTTCTAAAGGCCTCTTGCTCCTATTTACATCTGCAGCCGTGAGACCTCTGTCCTCAGACCATATCTCCTACAAGACTGTAAAGATCTGTGATAGGGGCACAAGATATGTGTGAGCACAGAATACAGTGGAGCACACTTTAATGCTGGAGGCTTAGACTGTGTTAAGAGATGGTGGTGACAAGGAGCCCCGTCATCTCTCTCACCTCAGTTATCCCATCCATAAACTAAGGGTGGGAGAGAGGAGAAGGTTAGTCAGTAGGTGACCTCCCAGCCCTGACTGTCTGTGAGTCAACCTTACTGTAATTACTGCAAATTGGAGAAGTTGGTTTTGCCAAAGAAGGAAGGCCCAGATGTGGCCAGACAGGACATTAGCGGGAAGGAGCAGATCATAGAGGTTAAGAGGAAGGATCTGTGAGTCGGACTGCTGGGCTCAACCCCAGCTCTGCCTCTGAAAGCTATGTCTACTCAGGGAGCTATAAGATGTGCACAGATGTGAAAGTTACTTGACAGTGTAAAAACTGTTCCTTCTGGAATAATCTCATGTGAACTGACCTTCGCAAAGCTCTGAATTTATACAATAAATGTGGAAAGCAGGCTCAGAGGGAGTCACTCAGCTTATGAGTGGTAGAACTAGAATTATTAGCTTTACATCCAGACCTGAGTCCCCTGTTTGTCTCAGTCTCCCACATAAGACTGTGTCCTGGAGAGTCATGAATACAGGGATGTGGGGGTCTGTTAAGTCCCCGGGACATCTGTACTCGGGCCCTGCCAGGAGGGACCCTGATAGGATCCCCCGCCTCCCAACCCCTGGAAGGCAGGGAGAGAGGCACCTGAAGCAGAGCAAAGCACAGGTATGCTGCAAGCATCACAGATGCCTCTCTCTGTCCCTCCCACAGCTCTGGGGGCTTTTAGCTGGTCCCATGGGAGAACCTGACTGTCCCTGGGGAAGCCGTGCTGGGCTGCTGCCACTGCATACACACACTGCCACCTAGGGGCAGTAGGCTGAATTCTGAGTTTATCAAGATGGGGGTGTGTGTGTGTGTATGTGTGTGTGTGTGTGTGAGTGTGTGAGAGAGAGAGAGAGAGAGAGAGAGAGACGAGAGAGAGAGAGAGAGAGAGAGAGACAGAGAGCGCGCGCGCGCGCGATGTGGGAGGAGAGGAGGGCTTTTCAGCCCTTGTCTGACACCGCAGATCTTCCTTCCTGGAATACTTGTTCTCTTGGCTCTCCTATTCACCCACTCAGGAAGGACCATGTATTGCACACCCAACTTCATTGAATATCCTGATCTTTTCATACCTTGACTTCCTTTGAATATCCTGATCTCCCCTCCCTGTAAGTGTTGCTGCTCTTCCCAGATTCTGCACTGTTAGGGTATAAAAAATAATTTTCCTCTTTTTCACCTTTCTAAGTTCTTCTGGCCGGGCTATAATCAAATTAACATGAGACAAATTAACAGGAGAAAATGTTCAAGTTTTATTATGGATATACATGCAGGGGTGTCATAAGAATATGAGACCGGAGGATGCGTTGGGCAGTTGAGCTTAATGCCATTCCAGACAAAGGAGAGGGAGGCAGGAATCAGGGATTTCAAAGAGAAAGGAGGCAATTTACAGGTCGATAAGACAGAGCA